CGTGTCAGTCTTCTTCGATGTAGATCCTCTTGCCGACTTGGTGGCTGCCACCCTTATGGGTGTGGTCGCGATATCCCCCTCAAAGATTATCTTGATGCTCTGGCTCCTGACCGGCTCCATTCCCTTACTCGTCTTTATTCTCCTTGCTTCGACATTCTCCTTCATCGAAGGAAACATCGATACATCTCCCAGATCATCTGCCCACTTGACGTACTTGCGGTCGTCAAGCACGACAAGTCCCTCATCTATTGCCTGTTTGAGGTCCGGGCAATTCCTCTTGATATGATCTTCTCCTCTACAGTAGACGCATGAGTTCCTAGGAGTAGATGGCCTGTCGTCTGCGCCTCTAGAGATCGAACTCCTGACCGCCTTGGGGTCAGGCAACTTAGGATATGGTTCTGATGAGATGCCATATCCCCCTCTCTCATTCCGTCCGCGCGAATCGTTGCGTCGGTCCCCTCCAGACCCTCCTTGCTCATACCGCCCTCGCGAATCATTCCGGCGGTCCCCCGAGTCATATCGCCCTCGTGACTCATCGCGTTGGTCCCCTCGGTTGTACCACCCCCGCGACTCGTCGCGCTGCTCTCTCGCATCTCCCCCGCGCTCAAACCGTCCGCGCGACCCATCTCGTCGTTCCCAATCCCTATCTCCTCTTTCATACCTACCACCTCTGTAGCCATCTCGACCCGACCTCTCGTATCTGTCGTCCCTATATCCGTCTCGGTCCGATCTCTCGTATCTGCCGTCCCTATATCCATCTCGTCGGCCTTGTTCCGTCTCCCACCGGCCGCGGGAGTCATCTCTACTCTGTTCGGCCTCATAGCGAGGGCTCCGCTGGTAATCATCTAGCCTCTTTGTTCGCACGAACAGCTCGCGTTCTCTGCGGTCTCGATCTATCTCATCGTCCCTACGTCGCCATGATTCATCGTCTCTCTCTCTTCCCCTCGTACGATAATCAGTCAGCGTCCGAGGATTTTTATCCTCGACACTCCTCCGGGGATCGTTGTTCCTACAATCCCAGCGAAGTGAATAGGGCCCTCCAGGTTTATCCCGGTTGGCCGTGGCCCCTGTGGCGGTCACAATCTCTGTAACCTGTCTCGTTAATCCCTTCACCATGTCCCGTATCTCCTTCACTTCCTCTGCCACGGCCTCATTCTTCTCCGACCAGGGATAGTCCTTGAAATCAGGACATCTATCAGTGGCATACTCCTTGTAGAGAGAGAAATCACGTCTCCTCATCCCTTTCCACACCAAGTCTTTGTAATCGTCTGCCTCTGCCTTTATCGCGAGCTTTAGGACTTCCGGAAAATCAAGCGTGTCGCGCGGAAGATCTCTAAGTATACTGTTTTGCCTACCTTTGGACAAGTGTCCGATGAAGATAGTACAGCGCTCGACCTCTGAGATTTTCCCCTTCTTCATCAGCAYGTCGGAGATCTTTTGGAAACGCATCCCAAATGCCCGTACGCTCTCATCTTCATCTTGAGTCATTGTTTCAAGGTCCTTGATGGAATACTTGTTATCCTCCAATTTGTAAAGCTCAACGAGGTTCTCCTTGTACGTAGTCCATTTTNCCAGGTCCTCGTCTATGATGACAGCCTCACTGCCGTTATCAATCACAGCATCGAGTATCGCTCCGTCGTTTATAATCGTCTCTACGGCCCCGCTATCAAGTATGTAAAACTTGTTTGGAGGCACACCTTCCATCTCATCGAGAAGGACTGTCGCCATGCGATCCGCTCTAGCAGTCACCCCCGTTACCGCCACTGTAGAAGCTTCCGCTTTAGGAGCCCCCTGACCCTCCTCTGATAGAGGTATGCGAGCCTTCCGCGTGATCATCTGTAATTCATCACGAGCCGGCTTCGATGCCGCCAGGTACTCCAGAATAGAACACTGCATTGGTTGTCGGAGGGCCTGCCTCAGTAGCTCAACCGTGTCAATCTCGTCCTGCGAACTCTTCATTAAGAACTTCTTCACTCCCCTCTTTCGCGGCGAAAGGATAACCTCTTCTCCATCGACTCGCTGCCCGTCCTTCTCCGTTATCACGTAGTCCGTGTCAGTCTTCTTCGATGTAGATCCTCTTGCCGACTTGGTGGCTGCCACCCTTATGGGTGTGGTCGCGATATCCCCCTCAAAGATTATCTTGATGCTCTGGCTCCTGACCGGCTCCATTCCCTTACTCGTCTTTATTCTCCTTGCTTCGACATTCTCCTTCATCAAAGGAAACATCGATATATCTCCCAGATCATCTGCCCACTTGACGTACTTGCGGTCGTCAAGCATGACAAGTCCCTCATCTATTGCCCGTTTGAGGTCCGGGCAATCCCTCTTGATATGATCTTCTCCTCTACAGTAGATGCATGAGTTTCTGGGAGTAGATGGCCTGTCGTCTGCACCTCTAGAGATCGAACTCCTGGCCGCCTTGGGGTCAGGCAACTTAGGATATGGTTCTGATGAGATGCCATATCCCCCTCTCTCATTCCGTCCGCGCGAATCGTTGCGCCGGTCCCCTCCAGACCCTCCTTGCTCATACCGCCCTCGCGAATCATTCCGGCGGTCCCCCGAGTCATATCGCCCTCGTGACTCATCGCGTCGGTCCCCTCGGTTGTACCACCCCCGCGACTCGTCGCGCTGCTCTCTCGCATCTCCCCCGCGCTCAAACCGTCCGCGCGACCCATCTCGTCGTTCCCAATCCCTATCTCCTCTTTCATACCTACCACCTCTGTAGCCATCTCGACCCGACCTCTCGTATATGTCGTCCCTATATCCGTCTCGGTCCGATCTCTCGTATC